TCCCAGCAGGGAGGCACAGGTGCTATTCCCGCTGTAGAGATGTGGCCGCCAAGGCACAGAGAGCTGCAGTCATTTGCCTAAGGGCACAGAGCTGCTGGGCAGCAGGGCCGGGACTTGCCCCGGACGGTCTGGATTCAGACTCCATGTCCTTCACCACCGTGTCACCTGCCCCCCAGGAGAGACAAAGGAACACCCCCACGGTCCCCATTCACACAAGTGCTGCGCACATTTCACTTCTCAGTCACAGTTTTCCTGTCGTGTGCATACACACACAATATGCCTGTGTGTGGCTGGGCAGCACAGTCCCCCAAGCTCAGTGCCCTACACAGACACCACGTGGGGTTTTCACTCGTCCTGCAGGTGGGCAGGGAGTCCCCACACTCCTGGCATTGAGCACTTGGCTCCCTTCCCATTTGCGGCTATGATCCAAAGAGCTGCCAGGGAGGTCTGTGCGCATTCCTTTTGGGAGACACACTTGGTCATTTCTGTTGGGTGTGGCCCTAGGAATGGGACCGCTAGGCCGCAAGGCCTGAACACATTCAGCTCCAGTCGTTGTTGCCAAGTGTTTCCCTAACCGGTTACATCAACTCACACTGCTCCTAGCAGCTACTCCACAACCTTGCCACCACTTGAGATTGCCCACCTTTTTAAGAAAAGTCCCACTGGTGTGTGTGTTTAGTGGCACTATTCTCTTTCCATGGCATCTTTTTAGGACAATGTTCTAATGTACAGTGAAGTTGCAACAGTTATGCTGTGAATACTCCCTGGCCTGTCACCTAGATGCTACAGATGACACTTTGTTGTTCCGCCTCCTGCCTTCCCCTCCCTTTACTCATCCATCAATCCATCTTATTTCTTATGCATTTGAAAGTAAGTTGCACACATCAGCACATGTCATCCTCAATGCTTGAGAACATGGACGATTATAATGATTCAATATTTACTGAGGGTTCTTTTTGCCTAAGATCAGATTTACACTCAGGACTTGCACACATCTTAAGAGGATTGCTCCCCAAGTTCGGACAAATGCATATTTTCCGTGAGTCCCGCACCCGTAGAAGACCCAGAACACTGCGTTCACCTCAGAGCTCCCTCCTGAGCACTAGTGGGTGGGTCTTAGCTGAGCTAAAGCTTCCCATAAGCAGCCTCCCAGACACCCCAAAGTGGCTCGGCCACCCGTCTTCTGTACAGTTCTCTTGGGGACCATACTGTCGGGTAGTGCCTAGGAGTGGGCTGGCGCCCACAGCACCTGCGCCTGTTCACCCATAGGATGCTTTACCATCGGCACTGCACAGCCTCTTACACCATCTTGCTAGCCTGGAAACACCACGAACGGGGAGACCACGTCTGTCTCTCTGTCACTCTCATTTGCCGGGGAGCCCCCAGAGCATGGCACTTAGTAGGTGCTCAGACACCAGGGAGTTGAAAAGCAGTCAGCAAAGCTGGTGAGCAGAGAAAGAGCCAGGATGGAGCAAGAGCACAGGTGTCCTCACCCCACTGGGTGGGGGTCCTGCCAAGTGCCAAGGGGGCTGGTGGCTCCGTGGAGTGCCACTCTAGTGCCCCCAACCAAGGGACCGTCAAGAAGGCACCACCCATAAGGACAAGGCAGAAATGGACGCCTGAGTTCAAGGCCAGCAGGACAAGCATTGAGCCCCACCCTGCCCCAGAAGGTGCTACGGGGGAGGGGGCAGGCCCAGGCCAGGGCCACCAAGGGAGCCTGGTACAGCCCCTTCCTCAGAGCCACAATGACAATCCTGTCATATGTGCTGGGAACTTGGGAGAGGTGGGAGAGGGAACAGGGGGAGGGAGGGAGAGAGAGAACAGGAGAGTTTTCCTAACAGGGGCACAAGCCTGTCCTCTGAGCTGAGGATGCCCAGGACAGCCACCAGGGCGAGAAGTCTATCTGCTGACCTGGCCTGGGCTCAGGTCCCGAGAATCTCCCTGGGGTGAGCCTCTCCCTGCCCCGACTAGAGTGCAGGTTTCCAAGATGCATAATTTCCAGACGACCAGGGCCCCACACACCCCACACTCTGCCACGTGCACTCACACTGGGGAGACAGAAGGCACTTCCTAGGAGACGGGGCACTGCAGGATTTGCATCCTGACTGCTGTCTTCAGAGACCAAACTCCTTGAAAAACACCCCTGTGCTGTCCTGGGGAGATTCACTTGTAACCTCCACAGTAAGCAGGAGCTGTTATCCCCATTTGGTGGATGGGGAACTGAGGCTCAGAGAGGTCAGGCAGAGCACCCAACCCCACACAGCCAATAGGTGGAAGAAGTGGCTTAGGCCAGGCCCGTGGGATCCCAGCCTTGTACTTGGTTCCCTGGGACCTGACCCTATGCCTGAGCTGCACCCGGAAAAGTCCCCTCCAGCAGGGATGTGGGGGATGACATGGGAGGACTGCTCATGTCCTGCTGCCAGCTGGCCTTGCCCCATACAATGTTTTCTCCTCCATCCTCAATGGTTGCCTCACTGACAACACGGCAGCTGTATCACACACACCCAGACCTCCACCCATCCCTGCCCTAGGCTGTGTGTGACCTTGGGCAGCTTCACAGCCTCAGTTTCCTCACCTGACACGGGACCCAACAACAGCTGATTCTGCTACAGAGGTTGTAAGGTCTAAGTGAGGTCAGGCATGTGAAGCGCTTACCCCGTGCCTGGCAAGATTGACACTTGATAAACTCACTGTTGATGTCCCCGTCATCACTGATGTCAACACCGAAACCCCGGGGGGGATGCTGAAGAGAAAAGATGGGAGAGTTCAGGAGGGCTGGGCCTCGCACGTCACAGGGGTGACGACTCTGTAACTCCCCAGAACCCGTGTGGACAATGCATTGCGAGCCCCGACTGCATTCCAGGCAGTGAAATAGGCACTTCGGCACGCAATTCTATTTAGATGACACTCAGCTTAGAGACAGGGAAGCTGAGGCACTGACAGGCCAGGGATTTGCCCATGGTCATAGAGTATGCAAGATCCAGACCAGGTCGGGGCCAACAATGGACAAGGGGACAAATGCCACCGCTCATGCTAAGGCCCCTCTGCTGCCTCAAGCCCTCTTTTGGGGAACGTGTGCAGTCTATGCTGACAATCTGGCCCCGATCCCACTGTGTGGCACCTGCTCCCCAGTGCTGGTGACCTGGGAGTGGCTGGAACACACCCAGGTTCTCCACTTCCACTGCCAAGTCAAAGTGGGAACAGTCACTCAGGGTGACCATCTCGCCAGCACTGCCGGGCATCACCCTGCTGATCCTCAGGGACAGCTCCAGCGCCTGGACCACGTGTGCCACCACCTGGTGCAGGGTGAACTCCACACTGCTGGGCTCCATCACACACACCTGGAGGACAAGGGCATGGCTTGGGCTCAGCTGCCTCCACAGGAGGGGCAGGGCTCATTGCTCAGATGTGCAAGAGCTGCTGTGGGCTAGGCATGAGGACATGGCTGTTATAAGCTTGTACTGAGTACTGGGGTGATCTGAGGACAGAGCTGGCAGGGAAGGCTTCTCTGAGAAGGAGCCCTGAGCTCAGACCATGTCCAAGGCAGCCAGGCCAAGGTCTGGGGAAGAAACACTCCAGGTGAAGGGACAGTGCATGCAAAGGTCCTGAGGCACATGCCAGCTCAGCACACTGGAGGAACATAAAGAAGGCCAGTGTGGTTGAAATGCAGTGAGCAGGGGCAGTGGAAAGAGCTGAGGTGCAAGAGGCCATGGGCCAGGTCCCACAGTGCCTGTGGTCATGTTAGGACATCATGCTGTCCCTGTGGCTGAGCTAGGAGACTTCAGAGGTCCCCATAACTCTGGCCTCTGTGTACCCATCAGCAGCCAGGCTGCCAGTGTAGACATGATGGTGGTGTGAGCCAGGGTGGTGCGGTGGGATGGGTCAGATTAGAGCTGCATTCCGGACTTTCAGCTGAGCAAGGGGCTGGAGAGGCTGAGAGAGAGGGAACAGCAGCTCACATTTCCTTACAACCACACTTACTGCACGCCAGGCCCTGTTCTGATGCTGACTCTGAGCCCACGGCACCCCCTTGCCAGCCTCCTTCTCATGAGCAAGAGCCTGGCCCCAGGAGCCAGGAGCCGGCCTGAGCTGAGGCTCCGTAAGCGCGGGGTAGGTGAGGCACTTGTAGGGACAGAAATGTATTGCTCACAGTTCTGGAGGCTGGACGTCCATGTGAACCTCTGTATCGGTACCTGCTGTGGCCTCACTGTCTGGTCCGTACACAGCTGTCCCACCACTGTCCTCACATGGTGGATGGGGACAGGGAGCTGTCTGGGGCCTCTTTTTTGAAAGGCCACTAATCCCGCTCAGGAGGGCTCTGCCCTCATGACCTAATCACCTCCCAAAGGCTCTACCTCTTAATGCCATCTCCTATGTAATGAGGTTTCCACAGAAGAATGGGGGGACAGACATTCATGTGGCGAGTGGGGCCCATGCTGGCCCAGCTCCCAGCCCCACCTCCTGGTGGAGGAGCCCCACAGGCTCCTCACTCCTGGGGTCCTTGGGGACATCCGCTAACACGTGCAGAGTGCTGAGGGCTGACTGCACAGCAGGAACTGCAGCCTGGGGAAAAGACAAAGCTTCTGCCTGGGGAGGCTGGCGCTGGGCCAGCTAGGGAGGCCCCACCTGCACCCTGGGCCTGAATCCCTGCACCCCGGGCACCCAGAGGGCTGAGCTCTGTGCAGTGGGGTCCAGCTCTGCCCTTCCCTGGGGAGCAGGGAGGACGGGAAAGGGAAAGCACTCCCTAACCAACAGCAGGCTGCCACACCCCACCCCAGCCCCCCAGGCTCTCCTCTCCCTGCTCAGGACCCTGAGTCTGAAGCAGCAGGAGCTCTACCCGCTGCCTACCTGAGCGGTTGAGGCAGCTTAGCCTGTTTTCTCTGTTACCAGCACAAGAGTTCTTTTCAGTTATCTGACCTCCTTCTCAGACATTCTGAGCCCAACCCTAGCTGTGGGTGTCCTTTAAAGGGGTTCGAAATCCACCAACTGTGTGTCCTCATCTGTGGACAGGGCCTCCACTCACCTGCCTTCCCCACAGGGAGTGCGCAATGCTGGATCACAAAGCACACTAGAAACTGTCAGAGAACGATAAAGGGAAAAGTAGGAACCAAACTCAAAGTGGGGACTGCCCTGGGGGTGGGGACACAAACCAGGGAGAGAGCAGTAAAGGGGAATTCATTTTATTCCTTTAAAAAACAAAACCAGACTAGAAACAAATATACCCATTGTTACACAATGTTTAATTCTGATGGTACACATGTAGGTATTCATTATTCTTTTTTTGTTTTTCTGTGTTATTCTAACTTCTAAATAAAAATATCTCCCCCCTAATATTGGATGTAACTTGAACTACTGCTATGCCCTCTTCTTACAGATAGGTAAACTGAGGCTCAGAAGGAAAAGGTGTTTGGTTTAAGGCCATGCTAAGGACCGATGCCTTGAAGTGTTTCTTTGCATTTCTTCCTATAAATGGGAGAAGAGCAGAATGCTTTCTACACCTCAGGTAAGCCTGTCGATGGAGCGCCCCCTACTGAATGCAGGACCTGGTCAGACAGGTACTAGATTCCACTTCAGCCTGGAATTCTTTTGAAATGCGTTAAGTCAGATACTAGAGTGAAAAAAATATGTACATAGCACAATAAACCAGTTCATAGATGACGTACTAAGTGAAATTACATACCCGTCTCTATAAAAGACATTTTCCCAACATGTTGTCTTTCCATATTTATAGGGATCCTGTACATTAGGTGGAAAAACCCACATTAAAGGTGGCCAAGGTGATGCTCAGGGAACGAAAGCCACGTAAGCGTCAGGAGAAAGTGAGCCCAGGTCTCCGTGCCACACGTCCATCCCTCGGCTCACCGCTCCACGCTGCCACCCCTGACGCTGAGTAAACTTCATGCGCCCACACACTCAAAGGCGTAGAGAGCACCGTTTCCAGTGCTCAGGATCAGGCGTGTGTTGGATTAGGGGAGAACGTTTCCTGCAGCAATACAATTTGTCCGCCAGCATTGGTGCTAGAGGTGCTGAGTGCCTGGCAAACTCACTGTGTTATGAACTCTCAGAACAGGAATGAATCCTAAACTGGAATAGCACAAATGTGCACCACAAACATATAAACACACTCAAGCATATCACACCTGACATTTGGGACACAGCACTACACACACACACACACACACACACACACACAATGCCTCGGCTTAGATGCCCAAACTGCCTTTGTAACCAGGAGAAAGTCTCTGCTTTCTAATACAAATAGACTTTGAGAAAGGATCTTTGCAAAAGAGAAAAAAATCCAGGTATTCATTTATCTTCTAGACACTTTGTTCTTTAACATGTCATTTGGCTTGACTCGGGGAACAGAAAACATGATACCAACTGCATAGGAAATTTATTATTACATGTAAAAAAAATATATCAAAGAGTAGACCTCATTTCGGCGTGGCTCAAGACAGGAAGTTGATGTCATCAGAATATAATTTCTGTGTATCTCTCTCTGGTTTCTCATTTGACTTCATTTTTAAAAAGCGGCTCTAATTTGTCCTTACAAGATGGCTGTCTGTGGCTCGAGGAAATATTTTCTAAGTATATGTCCAGGAAAAAGGAATGAGGGCCTATCCTTCAGCGTTTCCTGGTGAGGACCCGAGTATCAGTGGCCCTGTTTGAGTCCTGTGTGATACCTGCACTAAGGTCTGTGGTCAGTAGACTTCCATTTGTAGGTTTACAGGGCCCAGGTTGTGTGTTCCACCCCTGGCCATGATGAAGTCAACACTACTGAAGACATAAGGCTGAAGGTTGTGCTAGTGCACCTTAATCCAAAAGGTAATTGGTTTTAGTTTCTGGAGTACGTATGACTGGCTATCTAGACAGCAGCAAGGCATGCCAACTCCATTTGACTGCATTACTCCTTATATTGCATACCAGCTACTAGTAACACTCAATGTTGGTTGATAGCAGAGTATTTCTGCTATCTGATGATAAGCCAATAGTGAATTTTAAAACCCCAATATTTCCTACTGACAAATGGAGGAGCAGTAGTGCCTTTCATCAGGATATTCAATATATGCGAGGCTAGATCCCAGGTAAAGTGGATGGGTTACTCTTCTGCCTAAACGATAAACAAAATGGAATGCGTCACTACACAGTGCTAACTGGGAAACTTTTGTGCGAAAGTGTGGCACATCTTTGCGAACATCAATACAACGAGTGATGCGCTTAAAGGATGTTATCGCCATTTATGAATAGTAACATTTAAGGATGGCTGATTAATAATAATAACTGAATATCTAATTTATTCAATTACTAATAAATACATAATATACTAATAACAATCTAGCCTATAATCCACTAATAACATTTAATACTGTATTATAAACATGTGAACTGTAATTAATAAAACTAGAGTAAAAATAGCACTAATAGTCCTTACATGGGTGTGTGAACACAGCAGAATTGGAGCAACAAGAGTGAATTATGTGTATTACACATGAACAATATTGCTATGGTTATCTTTTACCCAAACTGTTGACTAAAAGCAAATTTCTGATTGCTGATGTGAAATGGAAAGATATTGAGATCGAAAATGGTTAAGGAAGAAAAATCTAATGTTAAAATTTCATAGAACACCTTTTGAAATAATCAAGACATAGAGAAGAAATTCTACAAATTTGCTGCTACAAAAAGGATTGCAAAAAAGAGAAGGATTTTTAGGGGAATTGTAAAACCTCCTCCTTTTCAGGACCACATTAGAAAGATAAGAGCCAAATACATTCAAGAGAAATGTCCACTTCCCTTATTATACTAATTATTGTTTTTCCTCTCTCTTTTAGGAATTTGGACTCCTAGTGTTCAATTTGAAAATTATGGAAAATGTAGTGAACGGAATAATACAGGGTGCTTACACTTGCTTATTTTCTTAACTACCTAATTGTGAAAATTATTCTCTTTCCTGGAATTTTGAGAATGTAACATTAATAAACTCTCCTATGCTGAACCCAAATTGGAACAAAATGAAACAGAAGGAATAAACTAATGAAAGTGGATAAAGCGAATTTTACATTTAATTACAAATAATAACAATAAAGGAGCATGATAAAATCGGATTATTCTGTGTACTGATGTTTGAAGTCAGCTTTCCATTTGGTGCAGCTGAGATCTATTCATCAAAAGGGGGTACTAACACCACCTGTATAAACTACTACAAATCGCAGGCCTCTCTGCAGGTGGCCATACCACTGCCCCAGCTATACATCTTCTAAAGACATGTGGAGCAAAAGGGAGAAATATCCTCTCCGGCCAAAAGGCAGAGACTGCGATGGGAGTCATCCAGCTCCTCCAGTCAAAGCTATCTCCCTGGGCACTCTGAAAAGTGGCCAGCCTGCTGGGCTGGAGAAGTGCAATGCCAGGCAGGTGGTGGAGTGTTAGGCTGACGGTGGTTCCTACTCAAAGAACGAAAGGACACTGGCACGGAATAAGGAGACCTGAATTCGCTCAGGTTTTGCCCACCTTCTTAATTTTTGATCACATTGACACATGTCGTCTGGCCATAGCTCCCAGAATATTCTTGGTTGGCTATT